ATACAGAATGAAATTTATGCCTAAAAACTCTGGTCAAACTTGTAAATCAGTGTCCTTATCGATTTATTCTAAGAAATGATATGTAAATAGAAAAAAAACTATCAACGAAATATTTCTAGAATAAATCCAGGCAAATAAACTTCAAACATAATACATTATACATTTGATAATGCTATTTAGAATTGCTTCGAGTTATATCATAGTGGGCATACTGGGGTCCTACATATTACCGGACAAAATATGAAGTTTTTTATCTGTAACTTTTATTTAAAATAATACAAAAGAATGGAATTTTACCCAAATAATTTTGGGGTTTTATTGCACGTAAACATTCCTTTATCAAATATGAAATTAAACATTTGACCGTAGAAATGTGTCTTTAAAGAAGGGCATTATAAGAGGAAAAAAATCGTGTAAACAACTCAATTTACCGGACATTGTGTTTCAAAATGTTTTGAAGTCGTGAATTAAAATTAATTCTTAAATAACCAGCAAGGAAACTACCACTATTAAATGGCAAGGTTAAGATATTTGAAAAACCCAGTATGTCACTAGAAATAGACACGACAGCCATGCCTGTTATGAAGAGGCCAATATATAGGGTGTAATTGAAATTAACACTTTTAACTCAATTAACGTATTGATCCTTTATGATCCTTAAACGTATAAAACATTTTAATATTCAAATGGAATTCTGTTCTTTGTCATGCAGTTTCCTTTCGGTCATCATGTAGCATGTTACAAAAGCCATAAAATCTATTTTATTTACATTTCATGTAAAGTTTCCTCCCATGGGCGTAACCCGTTTCCTTGTATGTTTTTTTTTAATTTGCATTTCTTTGTAAAAGACAACAAAGAGATACTGTTTAGACTAAATTTAAAATAACTTTTTATCATTGAAATATGTTACGATTGTCTTTTGAGGTAACGTTGAAAAGAATTAAAAGTAAAATCTATCTAAAAAAACATTAAGGGTCTCAATATTTGGGCCTGCGCAGAACAGATTATTCCCCCGCATGACCAGGTCATGAAATAACTAGTAAACAAAAGGGCATGTTAGTAGATAAAGAACTGAATCAACAATATTTACTTGAGAGAGGTTTTGTTGTTATTTATTTGAAATAGAAAGTGTGTGTTCAATTCAGAATGTATGATTTTTGAATCGAAGCAAAACGGAAAGCACTATTCAGCAGTAATAGCTTTTGTCCGGTAAACTGATTGTCCGGTAAATATGTAGGACCCCAGTACAGACAATAAAATATAAGTCATTTGTATTTTTATTTCTCTTGGATATGTCTCATTAAAAAAAATTGGTTAAAATCATCAGCAATTAATAGTGTATTTCTTAGATTTTTTTTATTTACAAGGTAAAGATGTAGAGGCCAGAGCACATCGTTTTTATTTTAATTTAAATGTCACTTAAGCACTACAGTGTTTAGTTGTCCTTTTCAACTTCACACTAAATTCCATTTTCAACTTGTTTGCTTCTTACAATTTTATAGCATTTCTAAAAGTATTGCATTACAATCCGCTGGTTTATTAATTACATGTTTAATGTGTACTTCCTAATCGCCTGTCCAAAAATCAGAACAGGTGAAGCAGAATCTATTTTTAGAATAGCGAAGGTTAACTCATATCATGACCTAGTAAAATATGTAAACAAACCACAAGAATAGGAAGTAGAACTGATATTATAACTTCCTTACCATGAAAGACTACATGGCGGTAAAGTGTCTTACATGCATTTTCAAAAATAGATATTTATACTAGCCATTGTACTGTATCTAATATATTAATAACTGCTGAATATTCAGCTAAACCCGCGGTATGAGTCACGAAAATAGTTCTTCTTTTATTAATGCGCGATTTATCCTAGAGTCACGAAAAAACTTTTGATTTGTTAATAATAATGTTTTGTATAATGTAGAAATATTTATTTCCTACTAATAATGTCTTGGAACTCAGAGGTTACACCTTTATTGAAGTATAATTTGCTGTCCTACTTTTTCGACAGCGGTAAATCGTTTCAGCAGTAATTTGCATATTGCGCAATAAATACTACGGGACTACAACGTTTTTATCAATAATATACGTTCATATTTTAACTTGGATAACTTAATTTGAAATTGAAAAGGCTAAATATGGAAGACATTAAGATATCCAGACAAAGTATGGGAGTTTTGAAGGATCAAATTCATGTACTATTTCTTGGGCTGTTAATTGGTTTAGGACACATTGCGCGAGTGTAGCCAACGAAATCCTATGTGTAGATGACTTAGCTCTGAACGCGCCTGAGGGCGCGTCCGTCGCAAAAATGGCTTTGTAAAACAGAATGGTATGAGGAAGTAGAAGTGTGAGAGGAGGGGGTAGGGGGGAAGGGTTTAAAAGGTGTCAATTCAATAAGTGTTTTAGATTTAGGGTCAGATTGGTTTAGGTTAGATTAGGAAGTAATAGAGATGTAAATCACACATTGTAACATTGTTGACATAGAGGATATTGAATGAGTGTAAGTTCAATACTGAATTTATTGCACGGGTTGAATAAAATCATATTATGCGATCCTCTGGCGAGCATAATATTATTTTATTCAACGAGTGCAATAAATTCAGTAATAACCTTACACGGATTTGATATTCTATTTATTACATACCCAAAATGAAGACCGTTAAAGTGAAATAAGAGTCATTTTTCATTGACGCGCCTATAGTATAACGTTAACATTTAGCGCGTCTTTACACTATGTTTGTATAACGCTAATGACGTCACGTCAAAATATATGCACGGCCGTGCAATACCATATTTACGGAGTCGCAAAATCGGCACGGGTGTGTGATAAACTCAGTTACTGTACTGAATATAATAGATTGTACAACTATAGGTGTCACCTCTGAAATGGATTAATCCACCTTTACAATTTCTATGCAAGTGGATGACTACTAATCACACTTCTAAATCCCCATAAGGTATAAGTGTATTGCTGATCTTTTATTTGATTTACAAATAAGGAAGAGTCTTGACATAGAGTAAGGTTTTATGGTTTACACTGTCAATATGGAAATTGTTTTTTTTCCCCTCAGTTTAACGTTTCTCAGAGACTGTTACTCCCGTATTTGGTTTCCGACAACATTTTATGATGAATATTAAAATGGCGTCCCTCGAGTAATAACATATTGCCAGGACACTCATAGCACCCAAATCCTATTTGGGATGAGGAAATCAGTTCTAATCTAGAGTGATGGTTCCTCGAGGATGTAATTTTCACATAAATTCTGACATTCTAGCGTTTTTCATCTTTTGAGAAATGATTGGACTAATCCCAGGGTGATAAATGCTTTTATTTATGCATAATATTATCTGGACTGGAAACTTTCCTACTTGTCTTTTTTTGTCCTTTTTTTATGGGAATATATCTAATTGACTGCTTTTATATGGGGAAATTTACGTGTTTCATGGAAATTTACATGTTTCATGATCTAAGTGTTAACTGGTTAAATTTATTGACTAGTAGTTTTTGATTTGATGTGATGATTTTGGTGTTTGCAACTTTTGAAATAGAAAGTTTTGAAGGGTCGTTGTACAGTTTGAAAAGACTTACTTGTAATGTACTACATGTATATTTATTTATTCAGGGGTTTTGTAGAGTGATTGAGATAGTCTTGTTCCTTCTAATATTCAGATTGGGTGAAATACTTAATGTAATAGAGTTATATTATAATAATTGTTATGAAATATATTCATGTTATTATATGTATTTCATTATTACACTAAATGTCATTAAAATCTAATGGCATATATACACTGAACTTGTTTGAAATGTTTACAGTCAAACCTGTGATACAAGCAAACCTGTTTCACAAACCACCCTTTTATACTGGGTTGAACACTACTATATTTTCTCATACGACACTATTTCAGTATTGTATTTTTCATGAACCATGCAATGTAACATATGAAATATTGAAATTTTCCTTCCAAAAGTTTGTTTAAATTCAGAAAAGACAATCAATTTAAGGGCATAAAACTTGATGTGATTTTATTGTAGAACTTTCTTGCCATCTTGCCGTACATAATTAAATAATCCAATTCTGTAACATTTCCTGATTTGTAATAAAAATGTTGTAGTTTCTGGAGGAACTCCTCTAGTCAGTGTTTAATCAAGATATTGGAGAAATGATGGGAAAATTTACGAGCAAAAATATTTTTAAGAAATTACACATTACAAAAGCCTGTTTTAATCTGATTTATACATCATGATCAGAGATGTGGTTACTGGAAGTGTGTTTAAATTTATTAAGCATGATGTAGAAAAAAAACTAGTGGGATTCAGTTTCAGACTTAAAAAAAAACAATTACTGTAAAGAATTTATGGCTCTGCCTGTAGTTGTAAGCTAGTCAACATCCAAATTTATAATGACTTTAAATTATTTCGAATATAAAATTACTGAAGTTTATAATATCGATTTAATAAGTTATCTGTAGCTAAATTTTAATGCTATGTATAAGGTTTCAAATTGAATATTTATAATGACACACATGTATAATTTTTGAGAACCTCAAAATTTGAAATTTCCATAGGTTAGGGTATCCAGACATTGGCCGAAGTTATTTAACTTTAAGGTTTTTTATACTCTTGATTAAGCACTCTTTTTATAAAGCCAATTAAAAATAATTGTAAATTGAGGGTTTTCTAAGGTTTCCTAACATTTTGAATTTACACCTATGAATTTCTAATTAATTAAATTAAGTAAAATTGGAAAGTTATCCAGTTTATTCTATGGAAGGATAGTGCATGGTTCTACTCGGAGCTGCCTACCCGTGCCCAAACTAATACACAGAGAGGAACTTGACATTTCCTTTACCGGGTAAGCTAAAATGTTGCCTCAATATTTTTATTATGACACTGACAGTCATTCTGTTGTGGATTTACTTAAAAAAAACCTGACACAAAAAAAGAAAAAGAAAGAAACATACTAATGTATTCTAATTTTGTATATTTTCAGACTGGGATTTAATGAGAGAAGACCTGTCTATATCAACATCATCAGAAAACCTCTAGACAGACTATTGTCCTATTATTATTTTGTACGATATGGTGACAACTTCAGACCTCATCTTAAACGGAGAAAAATGGGAAATCAGATGGTATATTGTCTAATTATTGGTGGGAGATTATCTAAGTTATGTTGGTGCTTAGCTGTAAAAACAGATTGTTATATAATATTGCTTTATGCTTTAATCCAACATAAAGACGATTTAAGATTTTCCATAAGGAAGTTTGCTACACATAAAGATGTCCCATCTAACCCTTGAATAGTGCATGCAACTTCACTTGTATAGACTAAAAGTTGCCATGACAACCTTAACACAGTCAATGTAACATCAAATATCTTGCCGGCGCGTGATTTGGTGCATTTTTGTCTTGGTTTAACAAAATCACATTCCTTTTATTGTTTTCAAATTTTCTTATAAAAATAGCTTTTCTGATGTACAACATGTCACAGAGCTTTAAGGGATTAAAAATAACGTTTGACTGAAGTGATAGTGTCATGTTTGAATATCATATTCTTTTTATAATTATCAAATTTTATCTACCTAATAAATAACGTGCCAATGACCAAGTCTATAGTCGATTGTTCTAGTCTAATGACAGGAACCAAATTCGGGCAGGGAACAAGAGGTATCATTAAAATACGCAACGGACATTTTATTGACGATACAGACACAGCGGAAATATTTTTTGCAAAACAGGCAAAACGTGTTTTCGACATGTAATTCATGAAAATAATTAACATTTCAGTTATAAAACAGATCAACTGATTGAAAAAAGTACGCTTATTTTATATGTATCACAAATGTTTGCAATAAGTTATTTTGAAGGATTCTGTGACTGACGATTGTTCTCTTTCACCTTGATGTTTTACTACATTTAGTGGTCCTATACCTAGATTCTAGGCGAATAAAATTATGCAATCTTTAGTTTAATCAAATAGTTTATTCTTTTATAAATAAGAAAACAAAACGTAACTAAGAAATATCAATTTATTTATAACTATTATTTGATATTACAGACATAATTTTGCTATTTGTTTGATAAGAGGCAGTTCGTCCTCAAATTCATTCGAACGAACATTATGCAATTCGCACCAATATTTAAATGGACATATTCTCGGCACATATTGTCTTGAATTCATTTTAAGTTTACCAATCATTTCAATTTTTCTTGTTATCCAATTTATTTTGCTTCGACCAGACGTAGTAATCTTTGTTGCAACAGACAAACATTTCAGACTTTCAGACACATACCAAGAACATGGAGAAAAAATTAATAAGTGCTTCCGATATTCAACTGTAATAGTGAACGATTTTCAATTCAGATTTTGTACATTACCTGTGACTGTTCACATCATTTGGCGGCGTCTTTGATATGCAGCATCAACATTTAACTTGTAAAAATATATTATACAATATGTAATTCTTCATTTGATAATTGATGGCATTAAATTAATTTTGTGCTATGTTTCTTATAATATTTGAATAATGCAATCTCAAGTTAATGTTTAATTTTGATATTTGATATTGTGATATTCAAAGGTTAAGGGAATTTTAATGTTAAGCTGTCAACATGATAGGACCTGATTAGACGTGGCCAAGTGGTTAAGGTAATTGACTTCAAACCACTTACTCCTCACCTCTGTGGGTTTCGAATTCTGACAGGGACTTTATGTGAGAAAGCTATTCAGCTAACTTTTAGAATGTTGGTGGTTCTACTTAGGTGCCTGTTTCATGTCTGAAATTATAAATGCACAGAAGGACATCTGAGGTCTTCCTCCACCAGTAAAGCTGGAAAGTGGTCATATGACCTATACTGTGTTGGTGCAACATAAAACCAAACCAAAATTATACAGTTGGACAGACTTGCCTTGCTCTTTACAGTTGTCAAAGGCTTATCAGTTCCAGCAGGACAAAGGTTAAAATAGTTTAAACTTACCATACATATAAGATATTGTATTAAATTTTCAGACATTTGATGAATGCGTAGCGAAGAACCATAAAGATTGTGACCCTGTCAATCTATGGTTACAGATACCTTTCTTCTGTGGACATTCTTACAGATGCAGGTAAGTTAGACATGAAGTCCTTTCTAGGCAAGTGGCTGAGGTTTTAAATCCTTTTAATTAATTTGATACTCACTAATACAGTATTAACTACAGTACACCACTCACTGATACAGTATTTACTACAGTACACCACTCACTGATACAGTATTTACTACAGTACACAATTCACTGATACAGTATTTACTACAGTACATCATTCACAGATACAGTATTTACTACAGTACATAACTCAATAATACTGTAATTACTACAGTACACAACTCGCTGATACATTATTTACTTCAGTACATAACTCACTGATACAGTATTTACTACAGTACACAACTCACTGATACAGTATTTACTTCAGTACATAACTCACTGATACAGTATTTACTACAGTACACAACTCACAGATACAGTATTTACTACAGTACACAACTCACTGATACAGTATTAACTACAGTACACTACTCACTGATACAGTATTTACTGCAGTACACCACTCACTGATACAGTATTTACTACAGTACATAACTCACTGATACAGTATTTACTACAGTACACAACTCACTGATATAGTATTTACTACAGAACATAACTCACTGATACAGTATTTACTACAGTACACAACTCACTGATATAGTATTTACTACAGTACACAACTCACTGATATAGTATTTACTACAGTACACAACTCACTGATACAGTATTTACTACAGTACACAACTCACTGATACAGTATTTACTACAGTACACAACTCACTGATACAGTATTTACTACAGTACACCACTCACTGATACAGTATTTACTACAGTACACTACTCACTGATACAGTATTTACTACAGTACACTACTCACTGATACAGTATTAACTACCTATAGTAAAAGACTCACTGATAGAGTATTAACTATAGTTCACAACTCACTGATACAGTATTTACTACAGTACTCTACTCACTGATACAGTATTAACTACAGTACACTACTCACTGATACAGTATTTACTACCTATAGTAAAAGACTCACTGATAGAGTATTAACTACAGTACACTACTCACTGATACAGTATTTACTACAGTTCACAACTCACTGATACAGTATTTACTACAGTACAAGACTCACTGATACAGTATTAACTACAGTACACTACACACTGATACAGTATTTACTGCAGTACACCACTCACTGATACAGTATTTACTACAGTAAAAGACTCACTGATACAGTATTAACTACAGTACACTAGTCACTGATACAGTATTTACTACAGTACAAGACTCACTGATACAGTATTTACTACAGTACACTACTCACTGATACAGTATTTACTACAGTACACTACTCACTGATACAGTATTTACTACAGTACACTACTCACTGATACAGTATTTACTACAGTACACTACTCACTGATACAGTATTTACTACAGTACACTACTCACTGATACAGTATTTACTACAGTACAAGACTCACTGATACAGTATTTACTACAGTACACTACTCACTGATACAGTATTTACTACAGTACACTACTCACTGATACAGTATTTACTACAGTACACTAGTCACTGATACAGTATTTACTACAGTACACTACTCACTGATACAGTATTTACTACAGTACACTACTCACTGATACAGTATTTACTACAGTTCACAACTCACTGATACAGTATTTACTACAGTACACTACTCACTGATACAGTATTTACTACAGTAAAAGACTCACTGATACAGTATCAACTACAATACACAATGCAAAGATACAGTATTTTCTACAATACATGACTCACTGATACAGTATTAACTACAGTACACAATGCAAAGATACAGTATTTTCTACAATACATGAGTCACTGATACAGTATAAACTACAGTACACAATGCACAGATACAGTATTTACTACAGTACAAGACTCACTGATACAGTATGAACTAAAATACAGAACTCACTGATACAGTATTTACTACAGTACACCACTCACTGATACAGTATTTACTACAGTACAAGGCTCACTGATACAGTATTAACTACAGTACACTACTCACTGATACAGTATTTACTACAGTACACTAGTCACTGATACAGTATTTACTACAGTACACTACTCACTGATACAGTATTTACTACAGTACACCACTCACTGATACAGTATTTACTACAGTACACTACTCACTGATACAGTATTTACTACAGTACACTACTCACTGATACAGTATTTACTACAGTACAAGACTCACTGATACAGTATTAACTACAGTACACTACTCACTGATACAGTATTTACTACAGTACACTACTCACTGATACAGTATTTACTACAGTACAAGACTCACTGATACAGTATTAACTACAGTACACAACTCACTGATACAGTATTAACTACAGTACACAACTCACTGATACAGTATTTACTACATTACACAACTCACTGATACAGTATTAACTACAGTACAAGACTCACTGATACAGTATTTACTACATTACACAACTCACTGATACAGTATTTACTGCTTGATTACCTACAATATCAATCCATAACAGTAAATATTACTGTAAAATATAGATAAACAAGGGCAGTCACTGTGCAGATTAAATGAATGCTCAAATTTATACATGATTTTTACTTTATTGCCTCTGGTAGTGAATTAAGATAACAGAAAGTTGCCAGAACTTGATAGATTAAGAAAACTACCTGAAAAAAAACTGTAGAATTGTTCTGATATAATGTTAATATGATATTAGAGAAATTTATATAGATGTGATTGTTAATTTGTTACTCATTATTATTTGACATCTTGCAGCTAGTTTCCATATTCTCTGAATGAAGCCACCCTTGAAATGCTTCAAGTAAAGTCAGGCCTGTCTGACAAGCCTGTATAAACTGTTGTTAGCATATATTGTAACTCTCTGATGTATTGTTATCTAACTATAATTATAGTCTTTAACCGTTGTAATGGACTGTGGCAAAATTCAACAGTTGAATAATTTTATTACATAGACAATTATAGTCATAAGTTAACTAAAGAAAACCAGTAACATTTAATAACAATTGTTGCTTGGCTTTGTTTTACAAGGCCTTGCTGCTTATTGTATTTTAGTTTTGAAACAAGGCAGATTGGTCTGACGCAGTTAATGTGAAGAATGGTTCTCATTTTAATCTATTGTAATAGATGGTATATGATATTTTGTCATGTTCAACAACTTCAGGCAGCCTGGTAGTAGATGGGCCCTGGAGCAAGCCAAGTTTAATCTTGTCAACAAATATCTTTTGGTTGGTGTCACAGAAGAGTTAGGGGACTTCATAGCTATGATGGAAGTGATCCTGCCGAGGTTCTTCAAGGGGGCGATGGACTTGTACCTCAATGGTAAAATAACAATTAAATAGGTTTCTATAATAACAATTGTATTAAAACTTATAAGGATCTTACACCGGATGCCGGTACAGACCGGATTATCTAGCTGGACGGTAATGAGAGGTAAGATCTAGATATTCCAGTCTGTTATGGCAGCTGGCGTTTGATTTTTTTTCTAGCACTTTATATAGAAATCATATTCTGGAAAGAAATTACGAAAACTAATATTTTCATTAGCACATTTTTCTTATAGTAGTGTATAAATTTCATAACAGTAAAATGAAGGCATTTTAAATAAAGAATGAGACCTACACATCAGAGCAAGAAAATTGAAACAACTTAAAACTAAAATACCATGTTAAATCTAGTGGTGTTATGATGATATTTATATTAACCCTTTCACTGCCATAGGGACGGCTTATGTCGTCCCTGTTATTTTCAGCGTATTTGCTATATGGACTGCTTTAGCCGTTTCTATAATAATAATAGTAATAATAATAAATTAATAATAAGAATAATAAAAATAATGATAAATATAAAGAATATTATACCATCAACAATAATAATTTTTATACTCACAGATTTGGTAACATATATAATTATTATAATACTAATAGCAAATAATAATAATTATATTAATCATTAATATAGTAATTTCTTAGAAAACCCTGTGGCAAATAGGTGATCAATTAAACAATAACCCTCTGGCAGTGAAAGGGTTAAAAAAAAAATTTTGATGTATATATAAATTTCAGGAGAAAAATCCCATCTTCGTCAAACAAACAAGAAAGACAAGCCCAGTGAAGATTCCATAGATAAAATACAAGAATCTACAATTTGGAAGATGGAGCACGAATTCTATGAATTTGCGTTAGAACAATTTCATTTTCAAAAACGATTGACGTTTCAAGCTATAGACAAGTTAGATGACATGGGTTTACAGGAAAGCTCAAACAGTCCCAATCAACAGACATATTTGTTGTCTGACGGACATCTATACATTCAGAAAGTATTACAGTTTCACTACGAGAAAGTGCGACCACAGTGAGTCTGAAATCCAGGTGATGGTTTTGGGGGGTTTGAAGAATGAAAATCAAATGAAATTAGTGCCAGTTATATTATAGAAATTAGAATGGTTCTGTAAGAATTTAAAATATGGAAGTAAGAGTGTAGGTTATTACTTGAATAGATGGTTTGTATTTAACTTATTTTCAAGTTTCTTTACTCTTACTGTAAGATTTTCAAGTGAAGGAGCTAGTCTGATAAATGCAGTTCTGTGATTGGTCAGTATTTCAGGAACATGTTCAGAAGCAGTTAATCAGATGCTTATATTTTTGTGTATTTGGTGATGTTTCTAAATATAGATTTGTAGTATGAAGTTTTATGTAAAAGCTCCTGGGAGCTTGTAACTACTGTGATTGGTGTATATTTTCATTGAAGGGCTTTGATTGGTTATGAAATAATGTCTGGTTAAGAGAGAATTCAGACATTGAGAGGGTGATGAAATGTCTCGACATTCCGTTTCTCCTTAGATGTGACGAGAAATGGTTATAACTGACTAATATAGGCATATGTGCAGATATTTTAGAATTTTTTATGTATAATGTATTTTTTTCTACATTAGTATCATTGATCTAAGAGATCGATCTTTGTAAAGTGTCATTTCATTTTGACATACAGTAGTTTATTGCATATTCTGTTATGTTTATATATTTGCCATAAAATTGCTGACAGTGCAGATTTTTCAGATTTGAAATGCCAGAAAAAAATCACATGGTTACTATTTTTAGACAATTGTTACAAGAAATTAAGATGTACACTATTCTAAAGGTATATTTATAAGTTTTTTTTTGTCAAAATTTTATACAATTTTGAAATTACTTCTTTGCCAATTTAGAAAAAAAGATAATTTTATTTTAATACTGAGATTTATATTTTGTACTGATTTTTTGTTTTAAGAATTCTCCCAGAGAGAGCGAAGTTGTCAATAACACAGTGTGTTATCCTTTACTATACTAAATATCTCGGATGGAATAATTGTTAAATTCTTGATGAATTATTTTCAATATTATATACATGGCATGTATAAGTAGCCGGAGTTTTAGTCACTTTTGAAATTAACCTTACTATGGAGAGGACAATGCTCCGTGTTGTTCAGTCATATTGACTGGTAGATTATGTTAACATATATATACACCTGGAAATAAGTTAAGCACACCTGGCATTTTTGCTTCAATTTTGACATCACCACAACTGAAAATTTAAATTTTATTTTGGCAATCTGTAGTCAACCTGCAACAACTGAAACAATCTCTGCACAAAAAATGGCAAAATTTACCTCAAAATCGCATTAGACTCCTTACTTGTAGTGTGTGGAGAAGGAATGAGGCTGTCATCCGGGCACGTGGTGTGTAACGTGGTGGTTACACACATTAAAAATTTGGCTACATATTGTCATTTTAGGTTACGTAATCATCAACATTTACCAAAAATATCCACCAGTAAATATTTTGTAAACACTTCAACACCATACTTATAAACACTTAAAATTTTGGTAATAAACAACACATTTGGTTATGCTTCAATAATTTGGTTAAGAATAAACAAAACTCATAAATTTACTTGTTTATGATTACTAAATTGGTAACGCTACTTATCAAATTACTATTTCTTAGTTCAATTATGTCGTCATCTCATAACAGTGCTTTCAATCACAACCAATTTTAAATTTCCGGGATGTGCTTAACTTATTTCAAGGTGTATATATAGACAGGTAAATTATGTCATCATATATATATTGACTGGTAGATTAACATTTATTTACTATAAAACTATAAGTTTATTGCCAAAATTTACTTCTGGTCTGCAGTCAAATCTGTGGAACAAAATATTATGTAAAGACATGTATAACAAATTAAAACAAATAATTTTGTTTACTTTGAGTATGTTACATTTGTAATAATTCAGTTTACAGATTGTAGTAACGTAGCCATTCTTGTTGTTTATTGTCATATATCAATTTTCTTTGTTGTTTGGATATTTAACAATATGCAGTCAAATTTGAACAGTGATATATTTTGTCAATATACCACACAAGGGCCCTGAGTATTTATTAATTTTAATGATAAAAATAAATACTGTAATTAAAACAGCTAAAAAATAGACATACACTTTCAGAATTTTTTTTTCTACAGATTTTGTTGGTTCAATTTATACAGTGTAACTTCCGAATTCCGGAACTTCTGAAATCCGGAAACTTCTAAAAACCGAACATTTTTTTCGGTCCCGATTTTTCCCCTTCTATTTTCAATTAATATAATACTTCTGAATTCCGGAACTTCTAAATTCTGAATTCCGGACGATATTTTCGTAAAATTAGAGTCAAATCAATGCAATTTTACCTCCAAAAACCGGAAATATCCAAAGGTGTGAAATACTTTGTAATACGAGAATTTTTACCCTGCAGGAAGATTTAATCTCCCTATCGATCGTTTACTAATTAGCGGTGATCGTGTAATTTGACACGCGTTAAAATCACAAACTGTGAAGTGATGCGGTTAATCAAAGTAATTTACGGCGGTCAGTTAATTTGGAGTGTTTATTAGCGGATTAAAAATTTAATGACAATTAATTGGACAATGTATGCATCAAATGTCTTAAGGGATTTAATTGCATTTTATGTAATAATAAATTAACTTGCATCGGACGATATGTAAGTTTATGCAATTAACAACATTTCTACAAACTGATAGAAATTCAAAAGCATTTGCAGGTAAAATAAAAATGTATTCTTTTCATGCACATCTTTATCTTGATTAAAAGACTATTATATATGATAATACAGTAATGGACACATCTTCCTTGACATTTAGTGATATTAAGTGGCTTAGTCTTGTCCACATTATCATAAACCTCTGAATTCCGGAAACCTCTGAAATCCGAACTTTTTGACAAGTCCCATGGGTGTTCGGTTTTCGGAAGTTACACTGTACAACATATTGTTTATTTAAAACTTTTTGATATTTACAACATTTTTTTTTTTTGTATTTGTTCTAAACCATTTTACATTTTAATCTAGGAACAAGATAGGTAATATTAATGACAATTAAAAAGTGAAATATTTAATACATTAATATACATGTATATTGAAAATTCATGAAAAGTATTTGTAAATAGAAGCATGGAACCCTATATTATCAATGAACTAAAAAATAGTTTATATCTACACTGAGTTTAAATGGTTAAAAAGTAAATTTGTATGAAGCACAAACAAATTTTACAGTTTACATTGCATTTCTAGTTGAACACAGTCAAACATGTTTAAGTTTAAGGCTGCTTGACCTCCTCACATTACATAAATAGTAAGAAAACATCAAAAATATACATACATGTATGATGGATCATACTCTATCATAGTATAATAGTGCAATAAAACCATCATGTTACAGTTGTTTCATAGCAAAATATTACCTAGCAGAATACTGTGTTTGTATTATAAATAAAACAACAGAACAACACTGCTGTATTTTTATTTTTTATACAAATTAATTATTCTGAAACTACAGATTTTTTTTCTTTCATTTGACATAACAGAAATGCTTAATGTTGATTTTATTGTGTTAATAATAAAGTTAGCTTAACCACCATGAAAAAATATTTATGGTTAAAACAAAAAAATTTTTATGTTTTTAAGAGGTTTTGTTTTGTTTTTTCCATCTTAAGCATTTTTACAGATTCATACAAAAATGAATAGATGTTACAAATATGTTACTGCAATAATAGGATATTAATTGAACATATGATAACACTGTTTCATGCTGGAGCTATCTGGCACATCTAGAAATGGCCTATTACATTTTTGCTATATTTCATATTATTTTATTACTGTAATATAAATTATCAGACTGATGTTTTTTGAAATATTATATCTACAACACACAAATTTATTATCTTTTTGATTGTGTTTGTTCATGTTTGTCATGGTATTTTGTTTAATAAGATTTTCTTCAAACTATTTTCTAAAACTACTGTATAAAGATAGTATCAATGCAATTATTTCCTGTATTTCTTTTTTATAAAATGGTGCTCTTACATTTTAGACTTGGGATTAGTTACTTTACAAAAGTTGTTTTTTCATAAATCTTTAATCATATTATTTTTTTTTGCATTGTTAGTTTTGTCTGTTTTTAAGAAAAAAAATGAGTTTTTATGATTTTCTGTGCTGTTGTCCTTGTCATCATGCAAAAATTTTAATGTAGCCCATTACTCAAACATTTTAAAAGTTATCAATATAAAACTTGCAATACTTGCATATCATGACAAGGTGTAGTCATAATTCTGAAAGCTATATTGTTGGAGTATTGCCCCTTTTTAATTTAGAATTTTTTAACAGATGAGTGTTAACACTGCATGCAGTGCTCTTGTTTTTGATATTGAATTACACACAATTTGTTCATTTTCTTCTGATATGATCCTTGTAAAATTATACAGGACACAATTTCTTTGAATAAAATATCGTTTTACATAACCAAAAGCCAAAAAGTTGTTGACAAGGGCAACAGGGGTGAGGCGATAATTTAACTTTCAAGGCATATCACTTGGACCAGAGGGAGACAACTCTTTTGTCCTAAAAAATAAAATCTTGTTCGTTATAATTATATGAAAGTTTTGGTTAGTTCTAAAGATGAAAATGTTGACGGAAAGGTTAAAAAGGGGAAAAAAGAGTTAGTTTTGCTTTGCAACAGAAAATAACAAGTTGATGTGTGGCAGATTTACATAGTCACCTGAGTTGTTATATTTTTTTAATTTCTTCAAAATCATCAGTGCCAACTCTACCATTAGCTGGTCAAGATTGACTTCTATTAAAACTGGTGCTAGGGCATGTAAAAGATATATTACCATTCTCTCATTAACAGACACAATCAAACCACTAGTCATTTATTCATTCATTTTTAGCTCACCTGTCACAAAGTGACAGGGTGAGCTTTTGTGATCACTTTTCGTCCGGCGTCCGTCCGGCCATCCGGCCGTCCGTAAACTTTTACTTTAAATGACATCTCCTCATAAACCACTAAGCCAATTTCATCCAAACTTCACAGGAATGTTCCTTTGGTGGTCACCTTTAAAAATTGTTCAAAGAATTTAATTCCATGCAGAACTCTGGTTGCCATGGCAACCGAAAGAAAAAACTTTAAATATCTTCTTTTAAAATACCATAAGAGCTAGAGCTTAGATATTTGGCATGAAACATCTTCTAGTGAGTGTCTACCAAGTTTGTTCAAAAAAAAGCCCTGGGGTCAAAATTGGCCCCGCCCCGGGGGGGTCATTGATTTTCCCTATATGCATATAGTAAAATCTTAAAAAATCTTCTTTTAAAGAACCCAAAGAGCTAGAGCTAAGATATTTAGCATGAAACATGTTCTAATAGGTGTCTACCAAGTTTGTTCAAATAAAAGCCCTGGGGTCAAAATTGGCCCCGCCCCAGGGGGTCATTGATTTTCCCTATATGCATATAGTAAAAACTTAAAAAATCTTCTTTTAAAGAACCAAAAGAGTTAGAGCTAAGATATTTAGCATGAAACATGTTCTAATAAGTGTCTACCAAGTTTGTTCAAATAAAAGCCCTGGGGTCAAAATTGGCCCCACCCCGGGGGGTCATTGATTTTCCCTATATGCATATAGTAAAAACTTAAAAAGTCTTCTTTTAAAGAACTCAAAGAGCTATGGCTAAGATATTTAGCATCAAACATGTTCTAATAGGTGTCTACCAAGTTTGTTCAAATAAAAGCCCTTGGGTCAAAATTGGCAGCGCCTTGGGGGTCATTGATTTTCCTTATATGTTTATAGCTAAAACTTAAAAAATCTTCTTTTAAAGAACCCAAAGAGCTAGAGCTAAGATATTTAGCCTGAAACATCTTCTAATGAGTGTCTACCAAGTTTGTTCAAATAAAAGCCCTGGAGTCAAAATTGGCCCCGCCCCAGGGGGTCATTGATTTTCCCTATATGCATATAGTAAAAACTTAAAAAATCTTCTTTTAAAGAACTCAAAGAGCTAGAGCTAAGATATTTAGCATGAAACATGTTCTAATGGGTGTCTACCAAGTATGTTCAAATAAAAGGCTATATACAGGTGAGCGACCTCAGGGCCATCATGGCCCTCTTGTTTTAAATATTATATCTACAACACACAAATTACACAATGTAATTATCTTTTTGATTGTGTTTGTTCATGTTTGTCATGGTATTTGTTTAATAAGGTATTCTTCAAACTATATTCTAAAACTACTGTATAAAAATAGTATCAATGCAATTATTACCTGTATTTCTTTTTTATAAAATGGTGCTTTTACATTTTAGACTTTTACATTTTAGACTTGGGGTTAGTTACTTTACAAAAGTTGTTTTTTCATAAATCTTAAATCATATTATTTTTTTGCATTGTTAGTTTTTTTCTGTTTTGATGAAAATTTTGAGTTTTTATGATTTCTGTGCTGTTGTCCTTGTCATCATGCAAAAATTTTAATGTAGCCCATTACTCAAACATTTTAAAAGTTATCAATATAAAACTTGCAATATTTGCATATCATGACAAGGTGCAGTCATAATTCTGCAAGGCTGAAAGCTATATTGTTGTAGTAATGCCCCTTTTTAATTTAGAATTTTTTAACAGACGAGTGTTAACACTGCATGCAGTGCTCTTGTTTTTGATATTGAATTACACACAATTTGTTCATTTTCTTCTGATATGATCCTTGTAAAATTATACAGGAATTCTTTGAATAAAATATCGTTTTACATAACCAAAAGCCAAAAAGTTGTTGACAAGGGCAACAGGGGTGAGGCGATAATTTAACTTTCAAGGCATATCACTTGGACCAGAGGGAGACAACTCTTTTGTCCTAAAAAATAAAATCTTGTTCGTTATAATTATATGAAAGTTTTGGTTAGTTCTAAAGATGAAAATGTTGACGGAAAGGTTAAAAAGGGGAAAAAAGAGTTAGTTTTGCTTTGCAACAGAAAATAACAAGTTGATGTGTGGCAGATTTACATAGTCACCTGAGTTGTTATATTTTTTTAATTTCTTCAAAATCATCAGTGCCAACTCTACCATTAGCTGGTCAAGATTGACTTCTATTAAAACTGGTGCTAGGGCATGTAAAAGATATATTACCATTCTCTCATTAACAGACACAATCAAACCACTAGTC